ATAAAAACCCTGAAAACTATACATTTCACACCTGAACCTCAACTCTTGCGGCCCGGTATCAAACGACTCACAGACCGGTACCGGTCTGAGGCCCGAGGGTTGGGGACCGCTGGACTAGCCAACATCTAATGTATTACCCCCATTTCTAGTCTTTTCAGTGGCGACACTAGAAATTTGTGTTATAAATCCAGATGCCCCTGCATATCGTCAGCAGGCCGGGTGGTGTGAGCACAAGAAAACGATTAGAATAAAATGTGATGAAGTTTGTTTAGATGATAGGGTCCAGCTGTAAATCAGAGGAATAAGAAAGGATTTGTGAATGTGTGTGCGTGTTTTAGGCTGGTTTAGCTATAAGCCTGAGTGTGTGTGTGTAATTTGTAACTGTAATGTAACAGTGGGGGTCTGCCTGTCATAAAAGGAAATAGGAAACCACAGTTGGGAGATGCTAGGAGTCTACGGAACAGAAACAGGGAAGAGAGAAGAAGTTTGTTACCCTTCTCCCCGAGGTGCGGAGAGGGTATGGCATACCCTTGGGTGGCTGTAGCTCAGGAGGTAGAGCAGGTCACCTACTGATCGGAAGGTTGGAGGTTCGATCCCAGGCTCCTCCAGTCTGCATGCCAAGTATCCTTGGGCAAGATACTAACCCCAGGTTGCTCTCCGATGCATCCATCGGAGTATGAATGTGTGTGAGTGTAGTTAGAAAGCACTCAGTATAGAGGTAGTGCTTGTGAGAATGGGTGTGACTGGGTGAATGTGGCATGTTGTATAGAGCGCTTTGAGTACTCCGGGAGAGTAGAAAAGCGCTATATAAGAATCAGTCCATTCAGTCCATTTACCTCCACACATCCTGTTTTATAGGGGCCTGAGCATTTGTGTCACACACACACACACACACCAGCTATGTGTATCCATATATGGTAAATTAGGAAAGTTGTATTGGATGCTGTAAATGACCATTAGGGGTGCGGCTACCAAGTATAAATGTAAGGATCTGCATGACTGCCCCTCAGATCTGCCGGTGATATTGCATGATTACATCACATGTAATATACACTGCTAATGTTTACTGTCGTGTCATTGTAAACCAGAGTCTAGTAACACGTTGGGATCATGCTGAAGACCACAGACAGCAGTCCAGGCATCAGGTGGGATAAAGTAGCTGGAAACATCAACTGATAAAGAAAAAAAGACAA